GCAGCCGGTTGCCCAGCCACCGCACTGACCGTGCAGTCAATATATGGAAGAATAATAAAGTACGTAACGCTTTTCGTATTCGAAAGAGTTGTTAGATAAATGTACCTCTAGAATGTAAATGAGAATCAATTGAAGCAATTTTGATCAAACTTTAACTTCAATAATATGATACGTATAATTTTCAATAATATATTGTTTTTTATTGTTTAAGATAAATTACAGCGGCCTTACAGGGTTATGATGATGCTATTAGATTTTTAGATTAAGCATAATAATATATATTATGTCTTTTTTAAGGGAGAAAATCATCAAATGACTGCTCCCGCCTGGGTGAGGCGGGACGGAGTGTCAGACTCTTACTGACTAAAAACCACCCCGTTCCTTCTCCTGCACGTCGAGCCGGAGCCCCGGTTACCCGTTAGGTTCTCCGCGACTCCGAATCGGCATCGGCCCTATTGGGCCCCATCTGTGGTGGTCTGATGGCTCTTTGAGGCGCGCGCGGAACGCGACGCGCCGCACGCTCGGGAATAATATTTATATATTATGTCTTTTTTTTTTAAGGGGTGGGTGGGTGAGGCGGGAGGGAGGGCTTTTTTGAATTGGGGGCAAATCATCGAATGACTGCTCCCGCCTGGGTGAGGCGGGAGGGAGTCTCAGACTCTTACTGACTAAAAACCACCCCGTTCCTTCTCCTGCACGTCGAGCCGGAGCCCCGGTTACCCGTTAGGTTAAAACAGCTTGTAACCCACACATGAAGCAATAAAGACTTTGAATTTGAATTTGATGTTTCCCTAATAGTGATGTGGTAAACAGTTAGTACAAATAACACATTTGATCATTTTAATATTTTTTTCCCTAATACAAGGAAAGACTTGTTTTTGTCCCATATAATGACATTTATGACATTGATAAACTTAAATGTCGTGTTAGCTCAGAGGTTGCCGATGACATTTTCGTGATGTTATTATTTATGAACACTGGGCAGAGGGATAACCCGATGAATAAAATGAAAAAAATATTTTATTAAAAAAATATTTATGACACACAATTTCCATAAAACTTCTGACAAACTACATAATAGTTTGTTGGTAGATGTGACTCCCATGTTTAACCTTTCGTGTGTCTAAAACGCGGATCCACGCGAGACACAATGTATATTGTATTGTGTCTCATATTGGTGCATTCAAGCGGTTAATCACATAAAAATAAATAACAATAACATCACGTAGTAATTCGATGAGGAACTCGACTAGTTTCAAGCCATGCTAGAGGCTCATATTCATGAGCAGATTCCGCTGGGCCCGCAGACTCGAGTAGCCAGTAGCAGCGCGACAGTCGCCGCGTCGCGGGTCGCGAAATGCTGCTAATGAATATGAGCCTCTAGCATGGCCTGAAACTAGTCGAGTTCCTCGTCGAATTACTACGTGAGTAAGCCGAAAACATAATAATTTATTTAGTATGTCTCACGAAAGTTACAATACAAACAAGAACATCGTGTTTATTTCCAGTAAAAAACTTAAATTAAACCTATTACTTAAATAAAATTAAAACTAAATATCACCAAATGAAATATAAAGTTAAGATTAAAATTAATTATAAGAAAAACAAAATAACAATAACATAGGTACTTACATACATTGTTTGAGTTCAATATACAGATGTATGACATATATACGTCATCGGTTAGTTGTATATAAATAGGTGTTTTACTTTATTAACTAAAAATCGCGGGTTACTCACGTAGCCGCTGTTCCCTGGACTTTGATAAACCGGGCGCTATGTCTATGCGATCCTCAGTATACTGACGACGAATTTCATCATATAAAACGGGTACTGGAAAACGATGGATACGACTGGCGAGCAGCTCGAGTAGGAAGCGACCGACAGTTGCAGAACGGACTCCAGCGTTCTTATCATACGTAAAAGGAGTAACCGACAGAATCGGACACCTGCTTCGCCGTAAATACTGCATCAGGACGATGTTCCGCCCACCCAGTTAACTAAGACAACTACTACGCTCACCTAAGGATAAGGATCCGCTGGCGGTGCCCGGAGTGTACATAATACCGTGCGACTGTGGCTCGAGTTACATCGGGGGAAACTCGTCACAACATCACAACCAGGCTAAAGGAACATATACGCAACGTAAAGAAGATGGATATCCAGGCATCAGAACATGTTTGCGGTACGGGGCTCACTTCATACGGTTTGATAAGGTCTCCGTACTAGCGAGGGAAAAATACTTCGTTCCGCGAAAAGTGTGAGAGGCCATCGAGATTAGCTGACGTCCGTGCTTCAACAGAGATGGTGGCTAGGTACTGCCACCGTCATGGAAGTCGAGCTTAGGGTTTACGTCGATCCGCAGCGTCTCTAGTCTGTAGTGTGACACAGTAAGTGTTATATGTACCACTGACTTTGTGCCAAACTCGGAATCGAACCCACTACCCTCGCCGCTGGTGAATGAACCGTGCGATTTAACATCGACCGGCGCGACGCGAAAAAACATAATGTAATTAATTTAGTATGTCTTACAAAAGTACTAGGTATACTAGGTACTGACTGCACCGTTGGTGCGGTGGCTGGGCAACCGGCTGCCGTGCAACGTGTCGCGGGTTCGATTCCCGCACGGGACAACACTTTGTGTGATCCACAAAGTGTTGTTCCGGGTCTGGGTGTCATTGTGTATGTGAACTTGTATGTTTGTAAACGCACCCACGACACAGGAGAAAATACTAGTGTGGGGAACTGTTTTAAAAAAAAAAAAAAAAAAGTTATATCATAAACTATTGGAGTACAATAAATAGATTTTACAATGAAGCAACAATAATAATTTATCTTGGTGCCGTTTTATTCGTGGAAAATATTTATATTAGATTTATATTATGGAATAGCCTAGTTATCACCTGAACGAAGTAGGGACAACCCGCTATTGAGTAATGTATAAACGTTTGTGGATAATAACTTAAAAAAGGTTATCAAGTAACTTAAAATTAAACAAAAACACATAGTAGGAGGAATTCCCAATTCGTTATTATATTCTTTATCTATAACTACATACAAATAAAATGATCAGAACGTATGCTCGTACATAACTCCTAAACGACTGCACCAAATTAGGTAAATAATTTTGTTGTATTCATTAAAAAGGATGAGATGCTTACATAAATAATTTTATTATGTAAAATTATAATAATTAATTACCGAATCTGTTGTATGTGCGCACATAGTTGCATTACTATTATTAATTTATTATTTTCCTGTTAGTATAATAATATAATTATTGTGATAATATCGCATTAGGAGGAGGATAAAAGGCGTGATGTTATGATGTTATGAAATTGTTTTTTTTGGTTTGCTCACTTAACTATTTGTCGCAGTAATTCAACTTATTTCAAGCCACGGTGAGAGCTCATATCTATACATATAATAATTCATTTATATTATAGTGTGTCTATTACAGGCGTGAAATATGTAGTATCCATACGAAGTCGGAGTAATTCGCTAGTTTTAATTTTATGTATAATTATCAGTATAAGAATTGCGATAATAAGTTCATGGTCTTAGGTTAAATGCTCATTTCGCTCGATATAAAACAAACTGTTGGGTTTTTTGAACACACGAGTGTTGATAATACAAGGAAAGACTTGTTCTTGTCCCATATAATGAAATTGATAAGATTGTTAAAATTAAATGTCGTGTTGGTTAAGAGATTGCCAATGACACTTTTGTTATTGTAGTCTTTGTGAGCACTGAGCACATGGTTAAAAACCGATGAATGAAATGAAATGAGTGCGTCGTTGGCTGAGTTGTAATAAGTGTGATTGCCGGGCAAGAGGACACGGGTTCGATTCCCGGTTCGAAAAAAAACTCCTCAGTAGTAGCACAAAGTCTGAAATTGTGCCCGGTATATGGCAATAGGCTCACCCCTACATGGTACTCATAACATAAATAGTGAAAACTAGGTGTAAATTTTCAGTGGCATAAAGTGCGGTAATGTGTACCTCTACCCACGCATTTGGGGATGAAATGCGTGAAAATATTATGTTATGTAAAATGAAATAAAAAAAGAAAATGAAAATATATTTATTCATAAATGTCAACAATATCCAATTTCCATAGAACTTCTGTCAAACTACATGACAGCTTTTTGATAGATGTAACTGCCATGTTTAATCACATAGAAACAAATAACAATAACATAGGTACATACATTGTTTGAGTTCAATATAATTATAGATGTGTCACATAGTAATATTATATTTATACCTATGATTTACATGCTCAATTATATATTTTCCAAGAGGTATTTTTTTATTTTACTTTGGAACCAGCGTTTCGTGATACGTTGGTTATTAGAGTAGGAGGAATATACCACAACATCACGCCTTTTTTTCCCGAAGGGCTAGGCAGAGGTGCATATTACGACACGTTATACCAACTGTACAATGTAACACCCATTTTTCTCTATTCATGCTATGAGTCCCTTGTAATAGGATACGAGCTTATTCACATATATTGGGCACAATTTCGGACTCCGTGCTACTACTGAGAAATGAAAAAAAAAAACCAGTTGTACTTTGCCCGACCCGGGAGTCGAACCCGAGACCCCTTGCCCGGCAGTCGCACTTGCGAGCACTCGGCTTACGAGGCAGCAGGGAGAAATAATGCAGGAACTAAGTTATTTCTATGTCTCTGACCAAAATAATTGTTATAGGTACATTTACTATTTCCAGTACATTGTAGTGCCTATCTCTAACAGGTCAACCGATTTATATGCATTTTAAACTCGTCACTACATAACTGCTCGACTGCCATTGCAAAAATTAACTGTTCATCACTGTCCAAGAAAGGATTAAAAATGAAAAAAAAAATTAGTCCCTACGAAATGCCGGGTCAGTTAGTTTATATACCTCTATAAAAGTAAGTTGTTTATATTGAACATTGTTATCTATACTGCCAGTGCTGGGAATTACGTGTACTGCGCGTACGCTTAGGGATATTTATAAAGCTGTCATTATCACAGGTACCTTAGTTGCTATTGGACCGCGCTTACGACATGTTGTTTAGTAAATCCTTTTTCGTTCTCCTACTCATACTTGGTACATCATGTAAGTTAATGTGATTTGTTTTAGTGAAAAAGTGAGCAATTATTATTTGGTATATTAATACGATTATTTATGTTCAGCATGCGATGAGTTAGACCTCATGTGATGAACCAATGACTACGTCACGCAGTGTTATTATTTTTTTCCGTGAAAATAAGATTAAGTTTTTTTGTTTATGGGGTAAAATGGACTGCCTCGTTGACCGAGAGGTCGCAAGTGCGACTGCCGGGCAAGGGGTCTCGGGTTCGATTCCCGGGTCGAGCAAAGTATGTCTGAGTTACTCCATCGGGGATAAAAAGGCGTGATGGTATGTGATATAATGGAGCATGGTACCCGAAGTACTAAATGCATTGTGATTGCGTTGCTGGCCTTTTAGGGATTAGTAATTTAGGGATTATTGGGGATTCAGGGATTGGGGAAACGCGTAATTGTGCTTCCGGTAACCTCAAATATAACGAAGCACAATGCAAGTGTTATTTCACGTCGATTTTATGGGGTATCACTCCGGTCGAGCTATTGGTGCCGAAGTATGGCTCTCTCTCTCGCAAAGTGTTTGCAAACATTTTGAATTATTAACCGTGGTGTTATTAGTAACTTTTAATCAGCTATTTTGTTATTCATGTTATTTATTCGAGGTGAGCATTATTGACGTATAGTTTAGTAGTCTTTACTATAACAATAGTTTGCGATCGTGTTATTCATGAATCTAAACGCGGATTCTGAAATAATGATCAGTGATATTTCAAAGTTTTATTTTTCTTCATTTTGCGACTGAATATCCTTGATTGTTTAACACAAAATGGTGTTGTTTTTGTTCAATTACTGTACCATTTACCAAAAATAATGTCTTAAATATATCAACATAAATTGTTTTAAAGTAATTATTATAGATTAATTTGTAAGTGTTGTTTTTGAGTGATTGTGAACATTTAAATAAAAAGATAACTATTTAGGAAATCTATCAAACAAACCGCAGACAATATTAATGTCTGTAGTTTTATAATGTCTTTGTGCATTAGGTGACGCCAATCAAATTATTTAAATTGTTATATTTAGCAGTACCTTAATTTCAATGTCAGTATAAGATAAATGTATTAATTAGTATCTTTATGTGCTTCGACGACTAAATTAATAGGTGTATTTTTAATAGGCATTTAATATTTTAATTACCTTTCAAAACGAGTAATCTGTGAAGTGTCGAAACGCAGATGTACGCGAGACACTATATTTTCTATTGTGTTTTATATATTGACAGACAAGAGGTTAATGAACCTGTAGACTGTCTAGCAGAATAAAAACACTATGTTCTATCCTCCTACGAGGATTAACAGGTTTAAATTTTTGTTACAGGGTTAGCCTCAGCTTGCGGTTCATCATCACCGCCTCGTCAACAGAGAGCAAAACAAGAAGGAGGTCGATCTATTTATGATATTCCTAATCAACCCGATGGAGAAATAACAGCTGGTCTTTGGGTAGGAAAAGAATATTTTAGATTACCTGATGCGTCGTTCTACAAACTAGAATTTAAAAAAGGCGAATCGGTTTCATCTTCACTCGTAACTAACCCGTTCCGTCCGATGCAAAGACAAATTATTTTCCAAGATCAACATGTTAGATTTAATTAGATATTAATAATAAATTATTAATTTACTGTGTGAGATAAATAAATGTATTTAAAAGTAGTCATTTTAATTTCTTGTTTTTCGTTTCTTTAAACAAAACACGTTGCACTATACTACGATTGTTTCCACGACACCTATTTAGAAACATACAAGTTCATATATACATGACACCTAGACCAGAAAGAACAATTTGCGGATTACACGAAGAGTTGCTCCGTGCGGGAATCGAACCCGCAGCACTTTGTGCGGCAGCCGGTTGTCCTGCCACCGCACCAACCGTGCTCATCATTGATAATTTTATTAAAACTCTTGGTTTTATTTTACTTATTTATTATACATGTCACAATCTCACAATATCACTTAAACAAAGAAAAGCCCTGCCAAAGAGTTGAAATAAAAAACTACTCAAATAAAAAATATTAACACGAAATGAGTCTTATAGATAAAAAATTCTACTTAAAAGGGTTTCATTTCAAGTGTAAAATTCATTAAAATACTTTAATGATACAAATCTATAGCATTGTAACACAAATAATACATTTAAAATACCTACAATGAAAAGTTCACAAACAAATGAAAAATGTTTTGTAAATAAAATAAGTAAATGTTAATGGATGTCGAAATACTTTGACTTTAATATTACATTAATATTAACAGGTAAATTGTTTTAAAAACTCTCATCCCAAGTGGTAACGCCTACTTAATGCCCAAAATACGATAGTAAACAAACTAAGGGCGTGTGCACATTCAAGTTAAAAATATAGTGACATATTTGACATTACACATTTTATTCTCCGGAGGGTTATTAAGAAAAATCAATCAAAAATAAATCGACTGCACGGTTGGGCGGTGGATGGGCAATTGGCCGCCGTGCAACACAAAAAAAAAACTCAAAAGCATTTACTTCAATTAAACCATACTTTGGTACTTATGAAACGTCAACAAATATATAATAATTAATATAGTCTGTCAGTCTATCAACGTCGCGGGTTCGATTGCCATACGGAACAGCTCTTTGTGTAATCCACAGATTGTTATTCCGGGTCCGGGTGTGATTTGTATGTGAACTTGTATATTTGTAAACGCACCCACGATATAGAAGAGAATCCTAGAGTGGGGCATCGTTTCTTTAATAGAAAAAGATATAGTAAGACTGCCTCGTTGGCCGAGTGGTCGCGAGTGCGACTGCC